GCAGGTCCCATCATAGACGATGGTGGGAGGGGGCCTGTGGCACCGTCCCAGGGAACACAGGACACATGGGCGGCCACCAGCGTTAAGGGACCTGGGGACATGGGTGTGCAGAAGGCAGTGAAGGATGGAGGTGGGGGAGAGGGAGAGGGCGGGCGGCTGAGAATCCGGAAAATTACTGCAGTCTCAGGGCTTTGGCTGCTTCAAAGCCAGGATGAGTCATCGGCTGGTTGCCTAGGCAACGGCTATTTTCCTCCCGCTGCTGATCAATCTTGTCTGCACAAATGTCCCATGAAACTGTGAGCTGTGGAGATAATAGACCCGAGTCACCGCACACTCTGCCAAACGAGGGCTGTTTCCAGTGCTCTGAGCCAGACCCTGTGCCCAGCCCCTCCCCACCCGGCTCCCACACTAACAGCCCCACTCGCACCAGGACAGGGGCAGGGGCAGGACAGGGCAGTGGGAGCTGGTCACCTCTGCCTCACCCCACTGTGACCCTGGGGACCCTGGCTGCCTGGCTTTGCTGTGTCCTGGTTGAAGAGTGGACATTTCTCAGAGCAGAGGCGGGTGCTGGATGATGGAGAGCCAGAGGGCGGTCAAACCCCGTGAGCTGTGCAGAGCGGCCCCTGTCCCGGGCCCTCCCGAACAGGGTGCTGCCCCCTTTGTCTCCCTGGGCTCCCTCCTGGCCTCGCTCCACAGCCCTTTGGCCAAGGGCAGGGCCGGTCCTCCCAGCATCTGTCTCTTCACTCGACACCCGAAAGGCGCTCTCGTAGGGTCTTCTCCCTTAATTCTCAGGCACCTCCGGGGTGCACTGGTCTGCTCCCGGCTGTATCCGCGTCTCCTAGCCTTCCTCGTGCCACAGGCACGTGCTCGGTAAGAGTTTGCTGGATTAATACATGAAGGATGGCCATCCTTGCCCACCACCTCTAAGGCCACCCTAAAAGAAATTCACTCAACATGACCAACCCCCTCTGAAAGGGCCACACCTTCCTGAAGGAACCTCTATACCGTAGACAAGTCAGCACCTCCATGTGATGAACCCAAACACTGTCACGACTTTGTGCCTCCCTCCTGGCTGCGTGGTTTAGGGCTTGAGGGACTTGGGGAGGGTCTTGCACACAGAAGGGTCGAGTCTCCTGTGCACGTGGTCACCCCTCACACCCAGCGATCACGCCCATGCATGTGCTGCTGTCACAGGGTCCCCAGCACAGCAGCCTGCCACCCACACGCTCTCATGTCACCCCCGTGACCACCCAGGTGGGACCACGTGCCCAGGCGGCAGGGCCTGGGTCTGAGTCCCAGCCACCACCCAATACTGCCTCAGGTTGCCACCCCTCACTCATCCCTGGCGCCTGCTAGGTGGCATCTCCGGCCACTTCCTCTCCTGCAAGCAGCCCAGATGGCCACGGCAGCCTGGGGTGTCCGGCACTTGTCCCGTGCCCTCCCGTTTCCCTGTCTCCACTTCGTCACAGCCTCTGGGATGATCAGGCCCGTCTGAGAAGAGACCCCACTGCGTCCTCCACACATTTCAGATGGAGGACATGAGAAGGGAAAAGCTTGCGCGACTCTCCAGAAGCTTCTAGCACATCAGACAAGGGCCTGGTGCCTTGGCGCTCAGGTGCCTCTGCCACACCAGCCCCCGCGGTCTCTGGAAAAGAGCGTCCCAGGTGCTCACAGCGTTGCCAGCCCCAAGCCCTGAGTGTACCCGAACTGGGCTCCAGGCCACCTCTCTCCAGAACTGCCCCTAGGAGGCTACAAGCTGGGAGAGTCGATGCCCCCGTCATCTAACTGCAGGCAGAGCCTCCCAGGGGGCCTCCGGGCCTCCCCACCACCTGCCGTCATAGGCACCCGAGACCCAGAGGGAACCCGAGCACCCAGGAAGAATCCCAATGCACAACTTAGTTGGAAAAGGTGTCGGACGTGTGTGACAAGTGCAGCCTCGCTCCTTCCTTGCCGAGCCCCAGCCTTCGTCCACCCCTGCCCACACACCTTCCCCTCCAAACCAAGTGACACTGCGTTACAGCCTTGAAGAGAAAAGGCTCCAACCGCAGAGACCTGGTTCAGAGACTCGTGGTTCTGATCCCTACCCACTCCCTCCTGTGGGCTGGATGGGAATGAGCGCAAGACACGATTATAAAGTTTGACCCACGTCTTATGAGACGTCACGGCTGCCAGGCAGCAGCAAGTCTCACAAAGGAGGCCACGGATGATCACCAGGTGCCCGTCTTACCCGGAGGAGTGTCCCCAGTGAGTCCACACACTGGCCCGAGCCCCGCCTTTTCCTCAGCGTGGTTCAACTCTGTGGCCTGTGGGACAACTCTCATGCCCACGGGAAAGCCACCCCTGTCCTCCCATGTCGGAGCCCCGGGTCTGCTTGTTTGCATGGGGGGACAGCTGGAGGGAGGACCTGCCACACGCAGGACAGCGCCAACGGCTTCCCAGACACACCCACCTGCACCTGCTGCCCGCTCGTGGGTGTGACAGCCGTGGACTCCTGTTCTCCCTCGCACAGGTGACGGAACAGAGGCTCACAGAAGTTGGAAGACATGCCTAGGGACACAGGACGCCCAGTAAGAGTGACCCAGACCACAACAGGAGCTGGGCGTCATGCTGAGAAGCTGGCCCGTGTCACACCAGGCTCGTGTCGCACAGGTGACTTTGTCCTGTGACTCTGTTGAGTGCTGACACCATGCAACCAGAGAAAGCCACGTCACGTCCTTAATGACTGTCCCACTTAAGACCGGCGATGACATTGTTCATCTCGATTTTGTTTGGGCCAAAATCCATTCCCTGTACATGCACACGATTGACCACTTAACCCCTCAAAGTCACCATGCTGTGGCTCGAAATTGTTTACCCATCAAGGCAGAAATCTCTTTTAGGTCTTTAGCCACCATCCCCTCACTTAGAAGGTGCTGATCCTCAGGAACGGCTCACTGTGACCGCTTTCGTCCCAGCACGACGCGCACAGCCATCTCGGGCGTGGGAACAAGTTATTCCTTTCCGTGGTCTTCACGTCTCCCCAGAACAGCGTGAAAACTCTTCACCTGCTCTATGTCACAACCCGAGTAAGCTGAGGCCCTAGAAGATCACGAGGTCCGAGGTCCCCGCGGGGCCACACACAGACCCCCCAGTGCCTTCTCTGAGGCCCTCTCAGAGCTGCAGCAGCTGCCTGCTCCCCGGCGCTCTGGCTGCTGGGACCACACACCCCTTGGAGACCATCCAGCCACCTGACCCTGAGGAACATGTGTCACCGTGACCCTGAACCACGGCCGGGTGCCTTCTCTGTCTTGTCTTCTCTGCCCACTTCCCAGCTGGAAACAGAATGTGGGATGGGATTGCAGTGGGCCAGCAGCCACGGGTAGACCCTGAGGCTCGGCTGCGTTGGCTTCTCCTCTGCCCCTCCTGCACGCACAGGCTCCTTCATCACTGGCAGCAGGGTTTGCAGGGCTCTGTGGGGCTGAGTGCCAGGCCCTGAGCCTGGCAGAGAAGACCAGAGCCCAGCCCGCCCTCGGGGCATCTGTTGGCCTCTGAGACTGTGGCTGGAGGAGCATGGATACGACCAAATCTCTTAGCCCTCTTAGTTCTGTCTTAGCTCTCACACCCAACCTGTCTCAGGAGCCCCGTGTGCCTCCAGACTAAGATAAGAGCTGGCAGAATCAGGGAAGGGCCGGCCTGTAAATGCAATGACTAGGAGGCAAGCAGGGCCAGTCCTGGCCAGTTCTACACGCCCCCTTTTCTCTCTACTCCAGGACCACCTGTCCAACATCCCTCTTCAGACATCCACCTCTCTCCAGCTCTCACTCTCCCTCTCTCACCATAGTTCTCTCTGTCTAGTGCTACCAAAGATGCATGCTGTGTGTGTTTAGCCAAGTTTCTTAACTTCTCTGAACCCGCATGTCTGCATGCATAACAACATCACCTTACAGAACTGTTTGAAAATTAAATGAGGCAGTGAATAAAAGGTACCATCACATTGCCTGGTACCAAACAGTTCTCCACCTATGTTGGCTGATGTTATTCCATTATAATTGTTAACCCTTCCTTTAATAATAAGACCTTTCCCTGACGGTTTTGCATTCAATGGAGACATAGAGCTTTTAAATCTAAGTGATTCTGTCACCTGAGGAGGTGCAACGAGTCCCAGGAGAGGGGGACCTCAACTCAGGACCCAGGGGGTTCTTGATAAACATCACAGAAATTGACTTAAGGATGCAAAAGTCAGAGGCACAGAGAGAAACCCCTTTAGGAAAGCAGAGATGCACTCCAGGGTCAGGGGGCTGTCAGAGTGGAAAGCTGTGGGATCCAGCAAGGAATGCACAGTTAGGGGAGAGCACCGGCACCCTGAGAGTGTTTAGAGGGACAGTGGCAGGGGGCAGGCTGGAGTCAGGCTCCAGTGCTCAATTCTGCGCTTGCGCCTGGCTGGGGCCTGGTGGTTTGCTGGCTGGGACCTGGCCACAGGGGGCGCCATTGCTCAGGACTTGCTGGTTGTAAGATCCACATCTGGCTTGTTGGTGAGGTCTGCTGCATTCCAACAGTTCAAGCTCGCTGCTTTTTCCCTAGGTGCTGGGATCTTTTGAGGCTCAGTATGTCGTTCTTTCTCTGTAACCCCAAATTCCTGTCTCCATCAGATTACTAATAGTGGGGTTCAGACCAGAGCAGTAGTAGGCAGGGTTCCGCTGGGGCTCACACGAGCTCATCTGCAGTGCTGAGCTCCTTCCCAGGCGGATCACGTCTGCACTCTGCCCCGGGGGCCCACGGGGCTCTGCTGCTCAGGAACGAGGAGTGGATGTCACACACCACAGCGCAGAGGCAGACCCTGCCAGGACAGGGCCGTGAGGCTCGTGGGCACTCCGGGCAGCTGCCACATCCAGACAGCCTCTCTGCTGCCCACGGCTCTGAGCTGGCCCAAGACCAGCGGCCCAGGCCCCACTGAAGTTCATCTCCAGGAGCAGAGCAGACGGCCCAGCTGCCGGCACAGCCCACCTGCTCCTGGAGCAGCAGCCTCGGCCTTCTAACTACCTCCCAGATGTCCCCTCCGTCCCTCCTCCTCTCCCCGTAGCTCTGCCTGCCCCTGGGAGAATGATAAGCAGCTCATATTTACACCTAGATTCTTGTGGCATGGCATTTCTCATTTAAACTCAAAATAACCTACGAGGTGGAATTAAAGGATGCTCAGAGAAATGAACTTGACCAGGACTGGGTCCTCCCGTCCAGCGGAGCCTCCTTGCCCGCTGCCCTCTCACTACAGCATCTCTGCCAGGCTCTCCCCTGCAGCTCCCCCACCACTCGCTTACAAGAATCCCTCCCTAAAACGTGCACCTACACTCCCCTCCTGAAACCCTTCAACCCTTCTATTAGGTCCACACAAAGTCAGGCTGGACCCACCCACCAGCTCCCCACCCCCACCCCGGCTTGCCCAGGAGGCTGCTCACCACTCAGGCTCCCTGCTGCGCACCCGCCCTTCCCCGAGCGACGCGGTTCCGGTCTCTTCCAGGCCAGCGTCTGCTCCTATTGAAGACACAGCTTTGTGAACCCCCAAGCTCCTGTGGCCCTTCTCTGTCCTTCCTGCTGTGCCCAACAACCTCTCCCATTCTTGTCACTGACCTTTACTACACCAAATTGTGTGCAATTACTTGTTGGGGATAGCCACCCTGTAAGTCAGGGGCCGTAACTCACTTTTCACCTCTTAGTTCCAATTCATACCACAGGGCCTGGAGCGGGTAGCTTATTGAATGTACATTGCATGGATGGATGAAAGAGTCGTTTATTCCCTCGGTTAGTTAATCACCTACTCTGTACCAAGCTCTGTGCTGAAGACTGGGGAAGCAAAGATGTGTAAGAGAAATCCTGGCGGAGCCCCTGCTTATGGTCTAATGCTTACATAATCAAGGGCTTTTAGTACTTTTTCTTTTGACTCCCTTCCCAGAAAGCAAACTGAACTACAGAGCTTGCAAAATACCAACTAATTTCATCTGGATACGACTGCCATTCATTTAGCTGCTATGCTGCATTAAAAAAAAAAAAAAAAGAAAAGAAAAGAAAAAAAAAACTCAATTGTCAGGTCAAAATCACAGTTTGCAAAAACAACCAAAGATAGATTGCCTGCAGCTCCCTCGGGGTCCTAGATCCATCATGACGTTAGTTCATTAAGTTCTATGAATTCAATTAACTTTCCTGATTAATCTTGGATTAATTAACCAAACTATGCTGACTAGAAAGTACTGGGCTCAAGGTGATTATTTTTTAGCGACAAGTGTTCACCATGTTGGGCTCTCATTTCACTAGATCCAAACTGGAATCTTGGCTGTCTGCTGCTCTGAATCATCCCAATACTCCCGTAACATGCAGCTGAGCTCTCACATTATTTTCTACATAAATGGCTTTATTTCACCAAGATGGAAGTGAGTGACAGAAGCCCCCTCCAGGCACCTCCTAGACCCCACAAACAACTGCACTGTGCTCTCCAGAACCCAGGGCTGGCCCCAAAGTACAGCTGGCAAGAGCCAGAGGTCATTTCTGAGACCCTCCCTGTGCCAAGGAGGGAAAAGAGGCCCCAACAAGGGCATGACTTGCATCACACAGGCCAAGCAAGCGCTCTGCCACTGAGCTGCAGCCCCAGCCCCAGAGCGATCTCCTCAGGCCAGCTGATGAGCCACTGTCATTCAGCCTGCAACTTCTGACCCCCTTTGCATGTAACGGGCCCACTCCCAGGTTCTGGACATGGGGACATGGACATCTCTGGGGAACCGTTAGGTGGCTCGTGTGCCCTGGAAGGGCCAACTCCAGGAAGTAAAATACATCAGACTCCCCACAAAATGGAATGCGGCTCCGAATCATCTCAGTCCAACAAGACCAAGACCACAGCCTGCCCGGAGCAGACTCAGGTTCTCTCTGGAGACAGCTAACACCATCCAGAGCTTTTATAACTTCTCATGTAAAATTATCAAGGAAAACAAAACTTAGCCGGCGGCTTTGACAGGGTGACGGCGGCGAAGGACAGACAAGGCCTGGGACCCAGCCTGCCCAGGCGGGGCTGTGGGCTTGACTCGCGGCCTCCTCTGCCAGTCCATCCTCCCCGTCCGGAGGGGCTGCCCCTGGGCAGGGCAGGAGAACCTGGGGACAGCCCTGCCTGTGCTGGAGAGGCCGGGGACAGCGAGGGAGACCCAGATTTGAGGCTGTGTCTCTAGTTCAGAGCACTGAGCATGTCGCAGTGCCGCGCTGGGGCTTTGTCTCTGAGCCCCCAACAGCATGGCCAGGCCTGCTGCAGGCTGACCGGGAGGCCGGGCCTCTGCCTCTCCTCTCGGGGGACGAAGACCACGCTCCCGTCGTGAAGGCGCCACCGGCAGAGCATTGTTTCTAGTGTGCAAAGGCTTGGCCTGTGCCAATGTCGGTCCTGGACTGGGGACATCTTAAGGACGACTCTAAAGAGGAGAAACCGCCTTCCTTGATTCGCGCAGCTGACTGGTCAACAGTGTGCTGAGCCGTCCCTGGAGCGCCCCCAGCGGACCCTGCTGCCGTCTTGTCAAGACCCTGAAGCTCAGCGATGAGGTCCTGTGGGCCAGGGTCACCCAGCCAGGCCCTGGCGCACCGGGGTTGGCGTGGAGCACTCTTCGTGGGTCTGTGGGTCTGGCCGCCCGCCAGGGCCCAGTCCCAGCCCCTGACTCCCGGGAGCCGCTTCCCAGGTGGAATCCACACTTCTCAGCAGCCCTCCTGAAGGCTGGGCACTCAGTGGGGGCTCTCCCCTGCCCACCACCCTGGCACTCAGTGGTGCCAGCTCAATCCTTCCAGAACCCTCCAGGACTAGAGTGGGAGTCCCAGGCATGGACAACATAGTTCAGCGACACTCTTCCAGTGGCACAGGGCAGTGGAGAGCCTGAGGGCAGACAGGGTCTCCTGTTCCTGGGACACAGGTCTTGGGTGGAAGGGAAGCATCCCTGTCCCCACTCAGCCCTCAGGGCCCGGCACTGTCCACCTTGCCAGCTGTCTCCTCCTACAGAGGGCATGAGCACGGCATAGCATCTCCTTAGAGGCCGTGGCTTTTTGGGAATGAAATTCATTTTTAGCTCTTTGTCATTAAAGAAGAGAACCCTGGAATCAGTGTCTGCGCCCACAGTGCTGGGATCAGGTGACGTTGCCAGGGAAACGCAGCTGCCTCCACGTCACCGTCACCGTCACCGAGGGAGCACACCTCCGCAGGAAAGAGGCGGCCTCGGTGTCGTGGGCCTGGCTTTGTCAGACTTATTGATTCGCTGGCTTCTCCAGATCTGCAGCGTGGCCTCCCCCTCCTCATCCCCACAGAGGGGAGGCTGCCCCAGTGAACGCACCTCCTCCCGTCACCCAGCATCCGTGACCCAGCATCCGTCACCCAGCATCGTCACCCAGCATCGGGCAGCCAGGAATGCTCCCCAGCCTCCGAATTTACCTGTGGCTTTGTCCTGAGATTCCAGGAAAGAAAATGGATCGGAGAGGGAGACTGGGGAGGAGTCTGTGCCACACTCTGTGTCTCTCTGGCCACCCTTCTTCCCACCCACCCTCCTGGAGCGGCCGTTAGCTGTCTCTGAGCACAGCCTGCTGCTCGGGGCTAGTCATGCACCACCAGAGGATGCTGCAGCCCATAACCAGCCGTCCACACAGCAGGGGGTCCCACACAATCCCGTCTCTGGTGACACCGCAGCATCTGAGCAACAGTGCCCTCTGTGATGTCCCCACAACCGCGGACTTCCCTGCCGTGTCCCTGCTAGGTGGCTCATGACTATATGGGGATCCCCAAGCCCCTTCCATCATGGAGAGCTCTGACTCACCAGCCAACCCCATTTCCCAGCAACCCCTTTATATTTCTGTCATGGTAACAAAACACTTGAGGCAACTTTTTAAAGAGAACATTTTGATGAAGCTCAAAATTTGGGAGATTCCATTGGTTGGAGACTCCGTGAGGTGCCAGGCGACCACGCAGGAGCTCCTGTGGGAGCAAGCGGTCACGTCTCAACCCAGAGAGAAAGAAAGCGGCAGTTCCCAGTCCCCGGTGAGGGCTCACCCTAGTGGCTAGGCCCCAACCCGTCACACAGCATCCTTTGGGCCAAGCCTTTGATGAATGCACTTTGGAGTGCTCTGCCCATAGTCAAACCTGTGTCCAGGCCCATGTGGCCAGTTCTCACAACAGAAGGGAGCAGGACGTGGGTTGTTCACAGGGCATAAGGAGGCCACTGCCACCTCTGTCCCCTCCTCTGGCCTAGGGTTGACACGGCAGGGCAGGAAGATGGAAGGGGCCTGGGTCCCTAAGGCACCACCTTGAACACAGTCCTCTCTGCTTTTTGAGTCAGAAGTAAGCCTCTCCTGTGCAGGCAGCTGACGTTTCCAGGTGTCTCTGTGGCAGCAGTGGTACTGGCCTATGTGGCCTGACCCCCAGCAAAGTCAGGCCACGATCTAGGTTCCAGAGGCCAGCACGGCTGGATCCAGAAGGAGACACCACCCGTCGATCTGAACAGAAACGTCTCGACCAAAACGAGACAAGATGCGTAAGGTCCCTCGGCATGGCTGGTTTTGTCAAGAATTTTCTCAAGAATTCATGACACTTGTGTTGGTCAGCTTTTGTTGTGACCAAAGTACTTGACAAGAGCAAGGTAAGGAAGGAGACGTTTATTTTGACTCACAGTTTCAGAGGTCTCGGCTGGGCCATTACCTGGGCCAAGACCAGGCAGGCCCCACGGCAGAAGGACGCGGTGGAGGAAAGCTGCCCAGTTTATGGCACCCGAGAAGCAGGGAGAGAAAGAGCCAGGGACCAAATATATTCCCAAAAGCACACCCCCGGGCCTCCCTCCCCCAGCCCCCCCACCTTGCCACAGCTACTACCCAGTAGTGCATTCAAATCATAATCCACCAAGTGGATTAATCCACTGATGAGATTACACCTCTGAACATTCCTGCACTAATGCAGGGGCTCTCCAGGGACACCCCACATCCAAACCTAGCAACACAGACAAAAACGACTGAGTCACTGAGCCAAGAGATTTTGGTCTCAAAGGTGGAATCTGTTCAAACAAGCTTTGTCAAGGGGAAACACACCACGGTGGCTGAGAAAGCAGCGAGAGCCAGGGAGGCACATGGGTCTACAATGATGCTGTAAGATAAGTTATCAGTGATAGTCGATTCTCCTTTCGCAACTCTAATATATTTCAAAGCCATGCCGTTTAATGCTGTTCTGTTCTGTTTTGTTTTTTGCTGGGTGCAGAGACACATACCTGTAATTCCAGAGGGTTCAGGAGGCTGAGGCAGGAGGATCACAAGTTCAAAGCCAGCCTCGGCAACTTAGCGAGGCCCTTACGCAACTTAGTGTGACCCTGTCTCAAAATTAAAAAATAAAAAGGGGTGGAGATGTAGCTCAGTGGTTAAACATCCCTGACTTATATCCCTGGTACCAAAAAATAAATAAAAATAAAGTAATAAAATGTTGTTTGTTAAAGTTGTCCACCCTGCTCAAGTGCTGATATTGCTGTGTGCCCTAATTAAATATGAAAAGGCATTTTCCAACTTTTAAGGGAAATAAACCTCAGAAGTGGGCAAACTGGAGGTTTGTAACAGCACCTATAAAGGACCTAACAAGGGACCAAGAGACCCCTCCCTAAGCCATATGACCAATTGGTCATAACATGGCTTTCAGGCGCGGAGTCAAGGGCCACTGGTTTGCTATGATAGTCTTTCATTAAACTAGCAGGTGACGTAGGAGGGCTACAGATCCATTTCTTAACTCCTAGGAATCCTGCTTCTCCCTACCCAGCACAACCATTGTTGCATTACCAAAAAGCCTTCAATTTAGCTTTAAGTTATTTGATTTTGAAAAGCTCAGCCAATTTGACTGCTTTTAAGGTATCTTTGGTATCCCCAATATTTCTAAAGAACCAAAGCTACATTGGTCGGGAAGAAATGTCCCAAACATTTTCATAAAGTGCATCTTACTACGTGCCAGTGTTAAATTAACTACTATTGTGCTCCCCATCCCTTTCTGCCATAAAGAAGTTGATAAATGGCATTTCCAGAAAAAACAGAACTTCCCAGTGCCCTTTACCTCCCCCCCACCACCACACACATTCTATTAGCTCCTCTCCTTACCCCAGGCCTTCACATTAATAAATGCCTCTGACTGAGGCCACCTGGGCCATGGAAGGAGGCAGTAGGGTCACATTATCAACTCTTATCTTGCTACTTCATCTGCTAAGTGCTATAAAAGGAAATTAATCAGATGCAGTTCTTGCTCTCCTGATGGCTACCAATCAAGCAGGAAAAACCCCACACTTACACACAAGAGTGGAGATGTGATGTGAGGTGGAGACGTGAGACCCCAGAGAGAACTAACCTGGAGGGCAGTGGACCAGGGTGAGAAACTGCAGCTCAATTTTTTGCTAGTTAGTTGCATAATACAACTGAGTTCATTCAGAATAAACACAGAAACGCACCCTTTATAACGCAGTGAAGCACCGTTTACAATCACGTGCTGCTGCGGAGTAGGGCTTCTGCACTGAGTCCAAAGACTGGGCCTGGTCACTGCAGCGTAGCTGTGTGTCTCCTTTTCCTCTCCCTGCACTGAGGGGGATCCCCAAAGCCATGGCTACCTCGGGACTTTGGGAGGAGCTGGGAGGAGCTGGTGGGCACTGACCACGGAGTGTCCAGTGGAGTGACTCTGCTGAGGAGCACCCTGTCCAGAGCCAGTGCTGCCCCAACTTGGAAACCTCCAAGGAGTGGAGGCAAGAGGCCAGAATGTGAAGGCCTTGAGAGCTGATGCAGAGGGACAAGGCTGATGAGTGTGCCTCTTGCCACCGGGGTGGGCGGGGGTCCACTCCTAATCACTGTGTACTGTACAGTTATTTTGACAATTTTCTGGAAAAAAATATTGGGAAATTACCTTAGGTGGCTGAGAAGCCTGAGATAGGGTGAGGTGAGCAAGCCAAGCCCCCAGGCAAGCTCCAAGGACAGACCCAGGGCCAAGGACAGACCCAGGACCAAGCCCCTGAGCAAGGTCCAAGGAGAGACCCATGGCCAAGCCCCCAGGCAAGGTCCAAGGAGAGACCCATGGCCAAGCCCCCAGGAAAGGCCCAAATAGAGACCCATGGCCAAGCCCCCAATCAAGGCCCAAGGACAGACCCAAGGCCAAGCCCCCAATCAAGGCCCAAGGACAGACCCAGAGCCAAGCCCCCAATCAAGGCCCAAGGACAGACCCATGGCCAAGCCCCCAGGCAAGGTCCAAGGACAGACCCAGGGCCAAGCCCCCAGGCAAGGCCCAAGGAGAGACCCATGGCCAAGCCCCCAATCAAGGCCCAAGGACAGACCCATGGCCAAGCCCGCAGGCAAGGCCCAAGGACAGACCCAAGGCCAAGCCCCCAGGCAAGGTCCAAGGACAGACCCATGGCCAAGCCCGCAGGCAAGGTCCAAGAACAGACCCATGGCCAAGCCCCCAATCAAGGTCCAAGGACAGACCCATGGCCAAGCCCCCAATCAAGGCCCAAGGAGAGACCCATGGCCAAGCCCCCAGGCAAGGTCCAAGGAGAGACCCATGGCCAAGCCCCCAGGCAAGGCCCAAGGAGAGACCCATGGCCAAGCCCCCAATCAAGGTCCAAGGACAGACCCAAGGCCAAGCCCCCAATCAAGGCCCAAAGAGAGACCCCAAGGCCAAGCCCCCAATCAAGGCCCAAGGACAGACCCAAGGCCAAGCCCCCAGGCAAGGCCCAAGGACAGACCCATGGCCAAGCCCCCAGGCAAGG